AAAAAAAAAAAAAAAAAAAAAAAAAAAAAAAAAAAAACCTGTTACTTTTTATTGGGGGAGAGGCAATGGGGGGGGGAGGAGGAGAGGGAAAGGATATTACACTATTTTAAAAGTGATTTTCACGTTTTCTGACAACATCACTTTTAAACAATCAATATTCTGAATATTTACTGACCATATCCTGCATGTAAAATCCTATTGATCTAACTGTAAATGGCTGAACTCTCAGAAAGACTGACATTTTCAGAATGAATCTTTATTCAATATTTTAAAAAACATTATCTAGCTGCTTTATATTTACAATATCCATTGTAGAGTTCACAAAATAAAGCTTTTAGCTGTAACCTGTTCTTACCATCAGGTTTAGACCTTGGCTGTCCACGAGGAATACAAGACCCTCTGAATAAATTTTCATTTTCTTCTAGTACTGCCATATTAATATCCAGCAAAATTTTCCCCATCGTAACACATGCACCTTCCCCATCAGATGCAGATAGATCAACGCATGAAGATGAGAGAGCCATACAGAGTTCATCATTGGGAAGTACTTGACAATACAGAGGTCCTAAACATCCACTGATATCAATATCTGTAATATCTTCTGAAGGGGCTCCAGAAAATTTAGTACAAAACATATCAAAATATTCTGTATTATATAAAATCTTCTGTATTTTGAAGCGTTGCCTGTCATCTGTCCTAGAGTGCAGACAAGTCTAGAATAAATCTAAACAATTCTATCTTAATAGCTGAAATAAAATTATGCCATGTGGTTCTTAGTCCTTCAGAAACTAATTCTCTGACAAATCCCCTCACTCCTTTTTAATCCAGAACTCTACCATGAGGTCAGTACACCAAAGATAACTCTTTAAATTTGCATGAAGAGACTTGGCCATTACAACTGCAAATAAGACATAAATCCCAGGAAATTACAGGCTAATGCATTTTACATAACCATTAATGCTAATTTAATTTTAATCCTGCAATTCTGTTCAAAATCTTAAACCCGTAACATTAAAAAGGTCATCCCAAAATAGAGGTTATTTTTAAGTAGCTTTACATCCAACCTCCCTACACATGCAGAAAATCTTGTATTTTGAAACCTAATGGGAGAGATCCTGGCTCCACAGAAGTCAATGACAACATTCTTGACCAACTTCACTAGGGCCAGGAATATTCTTGGTCTCCCTCTCACACACATATACACACACACATTATAGTAGTTTCTACAGAGATAGTCACCTGTTGGAATACAACACAAAGAAAGATATTCTGACAGGAAATGCCCTACTTGTTTTACTAGAACTTCATATAAATTTGAGAAATTAAAGTGGAAGGGTTATTTACTCTACAATAACTCTAATTCTTTGGAAATATTTTGCCTATGTGTACACAGTGCCAGTGCCCTTATTCTAGGTGTCTAAAAGCAGAGTCTTTTAGCCAACAGCAACAAAAGTTGCCCTTGTACCCCACGTGCTGTCTTTC